GAGTCCATGACTTCAAAGGTTCCTGACCTGCATGGTCAATGCACTCCCGCGATGGCTGCATGCGCTTCGGCAGTTTGCTACTCCGAATTACCGCGGCCACCTTCTGAAAATCCAGGCATCCCTGTCTCAGTGTTGTGGCTGCTAGCTCCTCAGCCTCTGTAGCCACATCCGCTGCAGATTGCAATGGCGCAGCCGCGATGTCACAAACTTCCTGCCAGGATATCGCGTAATTGACAACCGGCTCCTCAGCTGTACACGCTGTTGCGGCGAAAGGCGTGTGATGTTCCTTCCACCATTTGGTCAACAGTGGTCGAAGCCTCACGAACACCTCCCACGACACATAAGGTAAGCCGTTGCACACTTCTAGCTCGATCCACTGGGCATCACACTGGGCTGGAAGTCTGAGCCACGCTCCACACTTTTTCCAAGTAAACTCGCAGCCTATCGCAACTAGCCTACAAACTCCAACAATGATGTCCTTGCCTTCTCCTCGCACCACTACCTCACCTTCCCGCGTTCGGCCTGCTTCGATCTCGGTGTTGTTCGCAAGCGTCAACTGAAGTTTGGAGGTGCGTTTTGGCATAACTTGGCTTTGCCGTAACACTTCGTTAGCGCCTGAATCTAGCAAGACATGATCGGACTCTGCAGGCCCGTGGTCTGAGGCTCGCTTGGCTGACGATGTTGTGGTATCACTATTGGGTGTGCTCGATGTGGCGCGCTGCTGCTGCTGTCGTTCTGCTACCGGCATCGGGTGTCCTGAAGACGAGGATGTTGGTATCTGGTGTGCACATACCCTCGCGCGCATTCGCATCAAGAGTGATCTCACATGTGGTGGCAGCGCTGAGATATCCTCCTCCTCGAGATACTCAAGGTCAAGAGCGATCTCAACTCCTAGCGACTGTAAGTAGCCTAATCCCTGTGGATAGCTGATGGCATGCGTGAGCTCACCTACACTCATGTGGATCAACCCTTCAATCCCAACCAGCTCAATCCAACAGTGTTCATTCGGTATTTGGGGCGCCGCGGCTTCAGGCACAAAGTCCGGCTCGTCGTATGATGAAACCCGAGGCCGATAGCTACTACGAGTCACTACCATGAATACTTCGTTCCCGGTCTCCAAGTCCTGACACCATGCCAGGTACGCTTCACGCACCGCCCGGTCAGCACACTTCACGAAGATCTGCTCTACACGACGAATCTGTTGCATTTCGGAAATCTCTACTGCTTCGATGGGGGTTTGAAAGCCTTCATGCTGCAACACCATCCAAATTGCGAAAGACACATTAGGTGGGGCATCTGGGCTCATGTCCACTTCTCTCCAACACCGGCTCGCGCAGCTCTGGACTATACCTACCTGTCTCCACCGACAGTACTCATCATGGTCCAAGATGAGATAGCATAGACCGTCT